AAAATATAAAGGAAAAGATGAATAAATTTGACTATATTCAAACTAACTTTCAGTATAAGAAAAGACACAGAGGTGAAAGAAAAGGCATAGACAGGAAGAATACAGACAACCAATATAACCAACAATGTATTATTTTCCAGGAAAAAAGAAAAAAAGATTAGCAAAGAGCAATAGCAAAATGGGCAAAGAGGCCCAGAGATGTCCAGGAGGCACTTGGGATTAGCAGTACTACAAAAATCCTGGCTGGAAATGGATCTGGGTGACATCAACTTACTGATCATATTTGAATTCATGGGACTAAACGAGTTTATAGAAGGAAAGCTTGTTAAAAAAAATTAGACTTGGGCCAAAAGCAAGCGAAAATTACTGATCCTCACCAAAGTTCTTAACACTAAATAATAACTTCTTTTTTATTCACCTATTGGTTACTTCATCTGGCCTTTTCTGATCATAAAGTATCTTTACCTCTTCTACAGCTGGACACTAAATATAAGAAATAAACACTAATAAAAACAGATTTTGTTGGACACTGTCAGAAGGTGATTAGGTAAGCCTGTCTCTTTTATTTAGAACAATATTCTCTTTAGCCCCTCTGTTTCATGTACTGTCAGGAAGGCAGGGTTGTGGAAATGAAATGCAAAATCAAAAATATGAATGAAGCAGGACTTAAATTTTAAAATAAAGGGAATCTAAGAAAATACTACCTACAATGCACAAGAAAGATTTTTTAAAATTATTTTGGTATCATTAATATACAATCACATGAGCAACATTGTGGTTACTAGATTCCCCCCATTATCAAGTCCCCACCATACACTCCATTACAGTCACTGTCCATCAGTGTAGTAAGAAGCTATAGAATCATGCCTTGTCTTCTCTGTGCTATACTGCCCTCCCCGTGCCACTCCCCTACATTATTTGTGCTAATCATAATACCCCCTTGTCACTCTCTTCCCACCCATCTTCTCCAGTCCCTTTCCCTTTGGTAAGTGGTAGTCCATTCTTGGGTTCTGTGAGTCTACTGTTGTTTTGTTCCTTCAGTTTTTGCTTTGTTCTTACACTCCACAGATGAGTGAAATCATCTGATTCTTGTCTTTCTCTGCCTAGCTTATTTCACTGAGCATAATACCCTCTAGCTCCATCCATGTTTTTGCAAATGGTAGGATTTGTTTTCTTATGGCTGAATAATATTCCATTGTGTATATGTACCACCCCTTCTTTATCCATTCTTCTACTGATGGACACTTAGATTGCTTCCATATCTTGGCTATTGTAAATAGTGCTGTGATAAACTTAGGGGTGCATACGTCTTTTTCAAACTGGGCTCCTGCATTCTTAGGGTAAATTCCTAGGAGTGGAATTCCCAGGTCAAATGGTATTTCTATTTTGAGTTTTCTGAGGAACCTCCATACTGCTTTCCACAATGATTGAACTAATTTACATTCCCACCAGCATTGTAGGAGGGTTCCCCTTTCTCCACATCCTCGCCAACATTTGTTGTTGTCTGTCTTTTGGATGGTGGTCATCCTTACTGGTGTGAGGTGGTATCTCATTGTGGCTTTAATTTGCATTTCTCTGATGATTAGCGATGTGGAGCATCTTTTCATGTGCCTCTTGGCCATCTGAATTTTTTCTTTGGAGAACTGTGTTCAGCTCCTCTGCCCATTTTTTAATTGGATTATTTGCTTTTTGTTTGTTGAGGTGCATGAGCTATTTGTATATTTTGGATGTCAACCCCTTATCGGTATGTCATTTATGAATATATTCTCCCATACTGTGGGATGCCTTTTTGTTCTATTGATGGTGTTCTTTGCTGTACAGGAGCTTTTTTAGTTTGATATAGTCCCATTTGTTCATCTTTGCTTTTGTTTCCCTTTCCTGTGGAGATGTTCATGAAGAAGTTGTTCATGCTTATATTCAAGAGTGTTTTGCCTATGTTTTCTTCTATGAGTTTTATGGTTTCATGACTTACATTCAGATCTTTGATCCATTTCAAGTTTACTTTTGTGTATGGAGTTAGGCAATTATCCAGTTTCATTCTCTTACATATAGCTGTCCAATTTTGCCAACACCAGCTGTTGAAGAGGTTGTCATTTTCCCATTGTAAATCCATGGCTCCTTTATCATATATTAATTGACCATATATGCTTGGGTTAATATCTAGACTCTATTCTATTCCACTGGTCTGTGGGTCTGTTCTTGTGCCAGTACCAAGTTGCTTGATTGCTGTGGCTTTGTAGTAGAGCTTGAAGTTGGGAAGCGAGATCTCCCCTGCTTTATTCTTCTGTCTCAGGATTGCTTTGGCTATTCAGGGTCTTTTGTGGTTCCATATGAATTTTGGAACTATTTGTTCCAGTTCGTTGAAGAATGTGGTTGGTATTATGATAGGGATTGCATTGAATCTGTAGATTGCTTTAGGCAGGATGGCCAATTTGACAATATTAATTCTTCCTACCCAAGAGCATGGGATGAATTTCCATTTACTAGTGTCCTCTTTAATTTCTCTTAAGAGTGACTTGTAGTTTTCAGGGTATAGGTCTTTCACTCCCTTGGTTTGGTTTATTCCTAGGTATTTTATTCTTTTTGATGCAATTGTGAATGGAATTGTTTTCCTGATTTCTCTTTCTGCTAGTTCATCTTTAGTGTATAGGAATGCAACAGATTTCTGTGTATTAATTGTGTATCCTGCGACTTTGCAGAATTCAGATATTAGATCTAGTATTTTTGGAGTGGATTCTTAAGGGCTTTTTATGTACAATAACATGTCATCTGCAAACAGGGACAGTTTAACTTCTTCCTTGCCAATGTAGATGCCTTTTATTTCTTTGTGTTGTCTGACTGCCGTGGCTAGGACCTCCAGTACTACGTTGAATAAAAGTGGGGAGAGTGGGCATCCCTGTCTTGTTCCCGATCTCAGAGGAAAAGCTTTCAGCTTCTCGCTGCTAAGTATAATGTTGCCTGTGGGTTTGTCATATATGGCCAAGAAGGATTTTTTTTATTTGGTGGTATTAGGTACCATCTCCTTTTATACATTATAGCTTTGTTCAACTAATGCATCAGAAACACAGAATGTATGCATCCACATCTTCTCTAAATTTTCAGACAAAAAAGATATATGGATAACAGACTTCTACTCATTACACTTCTATGTGGAAATAACAAGTCAGCTACCCACATAAGCTGCTCAAGGGAAGCCAGTCACAAAAAAAACTACAAACTATATAATTCCTTTTGTAAGGAGTTTAAGTACAATCAAAGCAAGACAGAATAGCAGTGCTGATGGTAGAGGGATGTGGTTAGGGGCATGAAGAAGCTTCCTTAGGGGTTGGATATATTCTGTATATATTCATCTGAGTGGTGGTAACATCCTACCAAATACATTTGGCACTTGAGGATTTTACTATATTCTATTTAACTCAGGCATATGTTTTTAAATTTCTTTAGAGAAAAACTTCTTAGAGGCCCTAATAATTTCACTCAACAAGTATCATCTTGCCTTTGTCAAGACAACAAAGCCTCTAATTCAGAAGCAAAAAGATAGTGGCCTCTAAGTTTTTCTTCCCCTAATGTGCCCCACTCCTAACCCACCTCTATCTCAACCATCTCTCCAAGGGTGCCTCTATATCTGATCGACAGAGATGAAAGATAAGCGAGGAGAAGGATATTTGGGATCATCATATTCAGGATAAGCAAGTTCCAAGGTCCTCTTCAACCAAACAGAAAAAGTAAGTTCCCCTAAGGAAACTGACGGGAAACCCTAACGTAAACACTGACCTTTCAATCATCACTTTGTATATCATCTTCTATATTGCTCTAGCTCATGACTGTAAGCGTGTATCTAAATGTCTTCATAGAATTTCCAATGTAATCGTCCAAACTGATAATTCTGAACAGGGTAAAACGACCAGAATTAATTTATCTAGATTTCCATCAACTCTTACTGATGGTTACTTCTTTAGTAAACGGCAATCATAAATATTAAATTTAAACAGCCCAGTGAATGAAAAGCTGCCTTATAGAAAATTCTTTCCCTTTGTCACTCAAAAATGAAAATACCACGGCACAAATAAAACGTATTAATTGCAAATGGCTGCTACATTAAGTCACACAAAGTGAACTACGACCATGCACAGTTCGTTGGTATTTTTCGTAGCTGGTTAAGTGGAGTTCAGAACTGTAATGAAGCGCTGTATTATCACACCGTATACACAACATGGCAATCAACAGGTCCATTCACTTAGGCAAAAATAGAAACAAATTCACGTCAAAGGCGTTCAAGGGAATGATGCCGTCTCCTCTCGCCTTCAATTCTTTAAAAGATGTTAATGAAATTAAGTAAAATGTAATGATCTTCACGAATACTTTTGATTGTATAACTTCTGCAACATAAAATAAATGAAACCCTAAGGCTTCATATTGTTTTATCACTTTCCCAGGTTTACTTAACCTAAAAAAGATCTGATCTCCAGGAACTGAAAATACCTAAGGAAGGTCTATCTTGGGTCTTGTCTGAATGGCAAAACCCCAGGGCCTCGGAGCGGGGTTGCCCAAACTGCCGAGGGGCAGAACCGCGAGCAGTTTTCGATGGAGTACGGGAACTTCTTTTTTTAAAACCTGAGTTGTAGGGGTGAACGGGCGGACTGGGTACCGCGGGGGCAGAGGGTGGGGGAGCTCGTAAGTAAGAATGCTGGGGCCAAGACACCCCGCCTGTTCGGCGAGGCCGACCCGAGAGCGGCTCAGGTAAAAAAAGGGATGCCAGGAGACACCCACTTTTGAAACGCACTTGCTGTTACCTAGCACTCTCACGTGCTTCTTCTCCCAGCTCACCGGACCCTTGCTGCCGGCCTCCAGTGTCTAGGTCCTCCTCCCGAGACTCCCAGGAGGGCCTCGCCACCCAGGGTACCGGGGCTCCCGGACCGCGACGCACACGTCACGCTCCCGCTGCCAATCCGCGCGGGGCAGGTCGCCTCCGCTCCAGGGCGCAGCCCCGCCTTCCCTCCCGCCGGCCGCTTCTGCTTTGGGCGCAGGCGCCGCAGCTCGCACGGCCGCGGGGCTCCGGGGCGCCACCATGGTGCTGGAGAGTGTGGCCCGCATCGTGAAGGTGCAGCTCCCCGCGTATCTCAAGCGGCTCCCAATTCCCGAGAGCGTCACCGGGTTCGCCCGGCTCACAGGTAACCGCCCCCAACCAGCCCCCACCCTCGCAGGCTTCCCGAGGCGGGCCGAGGTGTGTGCCTGTTCGGGGTCCTGCAAACACCCGTGGGCCACGGGCCGGGCAGAGCGTGATGAGCGGCGCGTGACCCCGTCACCCGGGGCCGCGGGAGGTGGGCGCCCGCCGGCGCAGCCGCCCTGCCGCGCGAGTGGCGCCACCTCTCGGTCCCCGGCGGCCCCCGGCGGGTCCGCGTGTCTGGCTGCGGGGTCGTCTCCCGGCGGGCGGCCGGGCTTCTGCCGAGAAGGGGCTGAGTGTGGAGCCGGCCTATCCTTTTCATCCCCATCGCTCTCTGCCGTGTGCTTGTTTATTTTAAAGCGTAAGTCGTCGTAAGGCGCTCTGAATCGGGCAGTCCCAGCTGTCGGCTAGGTTTTACCCAAAGCGTGTGGGTGTGTGTGGCGGAGACACACACGTGATATGTATATGGAAGTTTTATTTAGTAACAACATTGGAAAATAAGCTCCGTTTCCGAAGGGGAGAGTGACCTATAGCATTTGAGGTCACCTCCGTTACTATGACTCTGGAAGCAGTTAAGGTAACTCGAGTGGGAGGAAATACACATTAGGCAGAAAAGTGTTCAAAGGCTGGTAGGATGGGTCAAATCGTAGAAAAGGAAATTTAATAATAGTTGGAGCGCCCTGTATTTAAGGCCTCCTCCCTTACAAAAAAAGAACCCGCACTCAGGATTTCACATCTAAGGGGTGAGAATTTCCAGAATGCACCGGGAAGGTTTTGTTGGGTTCTGGGCTTTACACTGTAAATGGAATATTTGTAAATCAGAGTAAGAGGCTGATGAGTGTGGTAAGGGGGTGGGGAGGAAACATTCTGATTCAGTAAGCAGTGAACTGTGCGTCCTGATATCAGGGAATTAAACATGACTTAAGATAATTTTTAGGTAAATAGGATTGCTTAACCTGGTGCAGTCTGGAGACCTATGGTAGCTGACTTAAAATACAGCATTTAGAAGACTGGTGGAAGAAAAATAAGTTTATTTTGTGTAGTCCTAAAGTCAGAACTAGGACCAAATTAGTGGCAGTTCTTTGTGGAGACGGATTTCAGCTCCATGGGTTTAGATGGATGGGGTAAACTAGATGATCCGTTTCAAATCTAGAGATTCTTTGGATTATGGTTGGTGACATGTTGACCAATGGATTTTGACATTTCAACATTTTCAGATGTTAAGGGGTTTGATAGCAAGCATGTAGCTAAATAGAAGGCATGGTGACTGAATAATAAACATCTAAAACATCAGAAGCAAGGGGAGAGTAACATAAAAGGGAAAAAATGTTTCAAATCAAGTGTTTATAAACATCAAAAGCCTCTTGAGTCTACTATTTTATTCTGATAGAATTGTGGCAGTTATTCAAAATTTTGACTTTCTTCCACTTATGAATTATTTTATTTAAGCATTTTACACATGTTAATGTATTCCTTATATTTTTCTAACAATGATACCTTCTTTTACATTACTATCCTGGTAGGCCTAACCATTCCCTTGCAGCTGAAAATTTGGGATGTTTACAGATACAGTTAACCCTTGAACACCATGGGTTTTTTTGAACTACGCAGGTCTACTTATATGGGGATTTTTTTTTCAATAAACATGTTGGAAAATTTTTTGGAAATTTGTGACAATTTGAGAAAATGTTTTCTTTAGGTTACTTTAAGAATATAGTACATAGATAAAACATAAAATACATACTAATCCACTGTTCATGTTATCAGTAAGGCTTCTAATAAACAGTAGGCAAACAGTGGTTAAATTTTGGGTGAGTCAAAAGTTAAATGCAGATTTTTGACTACAGGGGTCTCACCCCAACCCCACCATTGTTCAGTGGTCAACTGTATATATTTTTGACTTGTAATGCAGTGGTATTTATGCCCTATACCAATTCCTATTTTTTCTCCTTTGGATTATACCCTTAAATGTAATTTCTACAATGGTCACACCAGGTCAAAAGGATATGATTATTTTGTGAAATTTGTTCCTGGTTGCCAGTTTACCTTAATAACTTGCATAAATTAACTGCTGAGTTTTTTAATAGGAAAGAAAAAGTCCCCTTACTCCCATCCCAGTCCAGTGTAACCCGAATTATGTGTGTTGATTTTGATAGTGACTGGTTTCATATTGGTTTCAATTTTCTGTAAATAAATACAGCTGAAGCAAATTAGAAAGTACAGTATTTGATTTAGTGGCTAGAAGATTTTAGAAGTGTCTTTTTTTTGCTTGAAGATCACTACTGTCAACAAATACTTAATTCCTATTAAGAGCATTAAGTCAACTGAAAGACGGCCCTGGACTGCAGTTTGTAAGCAATAAATGGGTTTTAAACTCAAAAAAAGAAAGAAAAGTCAACCAAAAACTTTTCTCCCATAAGTCAATAAGTAGCTTCCTTTTCAAAGCTGTCAAAAATTTAATGTGAGGACTCTTTCTCAGGAATGATAAATTATTGATAAATATTTTAATAGCACATATTTCACTTAAGCCCCATTGTAGTGTGTCTACAGTTTAGTTCTCATTTTATTTCTGATTTGAGTAGGAAACATTAACATGTTTATAATAAATGCTTTATGAAAAAAATGAGATAGTCTGTTTCACACTGGACAGTGATGATATAACAGTTGCAGAATCTATTTTGGAACACAAAGGAAGAAAAACTTGAGGGACTGGTTTCCATCCTGAGTCTCCCTTTGAGAATAGGTGGCATTAGCTAATGGCATTTAGCTCTCTTCAGTGAACACGTAGAGTCCATACTTAGTTAGACTTTTGCAGAAATAAAAACCTGAAAGAAAACTTTTCAGCAATTGTTTAAGAAGACCAAAAGTATTACCATTTTCTATCTATGAAAATTAGAGCAAGAAAAGTTCCGGTACACATTACTATCGTCTGTTTTTCCTTCCCCATTTAGATCCAGCGGTTTTTTAAAGCAATTGACTAATGATGACTCTGCATTCTTAGTAAACACTTGGAGATCTTTAATTGCCATACAGTATTTACAGACAATCCTTATGCATCAGAAATAACTTGGCTGTGTATGTTTAGGTTTTTAAAGAGTGAGCCTTTTAAGATGAATTAGTATGATTCTGCGCTTTGGAAATAAAAAGTGTTCTGAAACACTGACCTGTGAAAAAGCTTTCCTTGTCATGAGGTTTTAGACTAAAACAACAAAAAAACTCCCCATTCAAAAGTAATAAAACAGTTTACTTGTAGATTTAATAGCTAGCTATGAAGCCTTGAATGTAGTAGTTTTTCCCTCCTTGGAGTAGTTTGCTTCTTTGAAATATAGCAGTAAAACTTGGAAATGTAATGGTTTTACTCCTAAGACAAAGCAATGAATCCTAAGACTAGAGTAATATTTTTTTTCAAGTGTATCATAAACATGTCAGAGCTGACAGCTTTAAGGGCATTAGATGTATTTATCTAGAAAGGGCCAGTTTTGAATGAAGAATTTAGAGTGGAACAGAGCTGAAAACATATATCCACAAAATGACTTACACAAGCATGTTGACTAATAAAGCAGCTTTATTAGTGATAGCCCCAAACTGGGAGCAACCCAAGAACCCACCGACAGGAGAACAGATAACAAATCACAGCGCATTCGCAGACTGGGGGAGCTGGTTAGCAACAAGAAGGGACGTGTTGCTGACCCTCTGGAAGAAATACCAAAAACTTTATGTGAGTGAAAAAAGCTTTGGTTATAGATATCAGTTGGGGGCAGGGTAATAGACTAGAAAGGGGCAGGAGAGTACTTTCTGGGGTGATGGAAATGTTTTATTTTTACACATTTTCTGTGGGGGCTACAGGGGTGTTTTTTTTTTTATTTGAAGTATTGTTGATATACAATGTTGTATTGGTTTCAAATGTACAACACAGTGGTTCAGCAGTTACCCATATGATTAAATCCTCACCCCTCTAGTGCGGTTTCTATTTATCAATGTAGAAAGATGTTACAGAATCATTGACTGTATTCTCCAGGCTGTACTACCATCTCCGTGACCAACTTATATTTTGATTGTAAATTATTGTGCCCCTTTATCCCTCTCCTTCTCCCCCATCAAGGTAGAATGCATCAATAGCTTTCTTTTGCATTGTGCTCTCTAGTCTTTACAGAGTAGTTTCCAACTTCATTCATTCATTCCCCCCAATAGTTGATGAAGTAGGAAACTCCTTGCTGTACTCTTGTGCCTTGAAAGTTCTCTCAAGTCTTTTGAGTCTCTGGCTTCTCATATTTTAGGTCTTGGCTTAAATTAGGTCCTTTTCACAGAAACTTTTCCTTACCCCCTTACCTAAGTTGCAGCCAACCTACTGCTCTACCCCCTAGGTTAGTGTCTCTCCTAGCATCCCGTTTCTTCCATACCTCTTACTATAGTCTGAAATTATCTTGCTTATTTATTTGTTTATTGTTATCTCCCCTTCCAAAATGTATACCCTATGAGAGCAGGGACCTTATCAACCCATCAGCCTGTATCTCTAGCACCTAGTGCAATATTTGGAATGAAGTGGGTATTCATTCGTATTATTGAACAAATGATTGGTTATTCCCATTTTACAAACCAAAGAAATCTGACTCCAAGTATATGAAGATATAGAATTATACATAGATAAACTGAATTAGTCCCTGAAATCTTGCTTTATGCCTGGCACTACAGTAAGCACAGAGACAAATGAGACAGTTGCCGTACTTGCTCTGAGCACAGGATCTCTACATAGTAGGTACTTAATAATTACATAGCAAGAAATTGAAAATTAATAGCTTGACAATACTAGGTTGATCAGATTTCTTCAATATTTATTAAGCACTTAAGTTGATAAAAGAACAGAGGAGACTGTACAAGAGCAAACTCTCTAGAGTAATGGAAAGACCTTATATTTTGTCTTAGATGGTGTTTATAGGTCTGAATAGTTTAAAAACTCATCAAGTTAAACGTTTAACACAAAGCTCAATGGGCTGAACTATAAAATAT